AGAGGGCAGGGCAGCTCTGTGTGTGCAGCTGTTCAGGTCTGCCCGCGGCTGAAGGGCCACCGTTCCTATGGCGTCAGAAGAGGCTCCGAGGAGAGCTGGCGCTCGTCCCAGTAAGTCCCAGTAAGGCCAAGGAGCATCTCATTGTCTCCACAGCAGGAAAGGTGGGCAGCCCCTCCCCTCCCCTGGCAGCCTGGGCCCTTCGGCTCCGTGTGTGTGTCTGGTTCCCACCTGGCATCTGCGGGCCCTGACGTGTAAACGGGCCTGGGGCGCGGGAAGGACAAAGCCCGGGGCTGAGGCCTGAAGAGCGGGCTCACGCAGGAGGCTCCAGGCTCAGCAGCCACGTCCCTGTGGCTCCGAGCCGTCCTGCACTCACACGATCCTAAGGATAGGTGTGACCACAGCTGATGCTTACCGGACGCTATCTGCTCGGCCCCGGGCCTGTAATGCTCATGGCAGCCCTGGAGGGAGATGCCTAGTTTCTCCCGTGTCACAGATAAATAAACTGAGGCATGGTGAGGTCAGATAGGTCACAGAGCGCTCCCCTCCAGACTGTGCTTGCCCCTGTTTTCTGATGCACCGTTTGGGGAGCGTTGGAATTAGGTGGGGGTTGGGTGTACCAGCAGCGTACCCCTAATGATAGGGGCTGGACCCCGTTCCGTGAGTGCACAGAGACTGTAAACAGAGGCTTCATGTGGCCTCCCCGTCAGTGCCTCCCCTGTAGACCTTGACCCAGGAGCGGTACTGCAGGAGGAAGCCGTGGCCCTGGGAGGGGGGGCAGGGAGCTGGGGAGGAGCTTGGGATGGGGGACGGTCTTGATGGGCATGGGCTCCCTGAGGACAGCTGTGGTCAGTGTGGCAGGAGGCCCCAGCAGAGGCGGGGAACAGTGGTGTGGAGGGGCCCGGAGGGTAGGGTGGGCCATGCGTGCGACGGGCGGCGTGTGAAAAACAAACGGCCCCGGCTCCAGGGGGCTCCAGGGAAATGGGGTCCGTGGAGATGGGCGTTGGGGGCAGGCTTTGGTCAGGGTCAGAGAGACGAGGGTGTGCAGGTGGTTCGTGAACGAGGACGGTGCTCCCGAGCGTGGTGGGAGGGGTGCAGGGAAGACAGCAGAGGAGAAGGGGTATGTGGGGAGGAGACAGAACAGCCCCGTTAACGGTCAGGCTCCCCAGTCATGAGTAAGAACAAGCCCGTGAGCCCGCCGGCGGCCCTAATGCATGCAGCGGACTCTCACCTTGGCCCTGTGTGGGACCTGAGTGCCCTCTGTGAGGGCGTGGCCACACGGCCCTGCCTGGGGGCCTGCTGGTCGGGCCTGGAGGGTGTGCAGGCCCCACAGCCCCTGCCCCCCACCTGCAGTACCCGGCTCAGCCAGCTGTCCCGGGCCGGATTCCAGAGCCCCGACTGCCCTGTCTCACGGGCTGGAGCTGGCAGGAGTCTGGGAGCGCTGGTGAGCTGAACGTCACCAAGTGGCGGCCCGGGTGGCCGACATCGAGGGGAAGAAGCTGTGCCTCAGTTTCCGCAGGGAATCCTCAGGATGTCTGGTGTATGGGGCTCCCTCCTTGAATGAGAAATCCGCCCCTTCTGTGAGCCACAGGCTCATTTTGCTCCCCCGGCTTCCGGGAGTCAGACCGAAGGACTCCTGCCTGTGGACGCATCCTGAGCTGCGTGACTGATGCATTTGCATTTCCAGTCTTGGTCCCGGTTTCAGCTCGCCGTGGTCTTACCTCACTCGACGGGGAGTGTCCAGAAGCAGAACCGGAGCCCTTTACCGAGTGGCTGCAGGTGCGGGCATTCGCTTCCTAACAAGCTGAGTGGGGAAGGTGCGGCAGTCGGGGTCCAGGCAGGACGCAGACACCCACCTGAGGTTGCAGCGGGGAACACTCAAGACAATGGTTCTTAGCTAACGTGGTTGAAGGAGCGCCCTGAGGAAGACAGAGCGAACGTGCGCGGCAGCTTCCAGCTCAAGCTGAGCGGGAGACCCCACCCCACAAAGCCTGAGGTCAGACCTCCCTGGAGGTGTGTCTGCCGGGGGGACACATAGCTTCAGGGCTGGGGGCTGCAGCTGGTGTGTAGCCGGACCGGAGCCCACCGGGGCCGCCGCCGCGTGGAGAGCGCCGGCAGCTGGCTGGTTTGCAGGCTCGGGGTGATGGGGTGACGGAGGAGCTCCCCGAGGAGTGAGTGCGCTGGGCATCCTGCACACGGCCGGCCGCTGCGCTCTAGACAGAAAAAGCCCTGAACCAGAAGAGAAGCCCCTTTGTTGGCTGCGCCTGCTGGTCTCTCCGCTACCTTCTATGGACAAACCCTGACCTTGCCCACGGGCAGAGGAGACATGTTTACAGCGTCCAGTTCCTACCCCACGAGGTGGGGCGAAGAAGGATGCATGTGGAGCCAAGAGGCAGTAAACCCAAAGCGCGTGGTGGGTCCGGAGACCCGAGGTCCCTGAACGGCTGGGTCTCCGTCTCTGCCACGACCGGGCGTCTGCTCACCGATGCGTCCGTGTGGCTTGGGGAAATGCAGGGAGCCAGGCACGCAGGGTGCTCAATGAAAGTGGCCCAGAGGGGCCGGGGCAGACCAGGCGTTTTTCCGCGGACTCGCCCTGGGTCTAAATGACGTCCCTGTCTCACCCGTGTGCTTCCAGACACAGCGACTGTGCAAGCAGGAGCAAGTGCGTTGCTTCCTGTGCAGCGTGCTCCCCAGTGTAGGAAGGGGCAGCTCGCACGGCCCCTTCCTGCCCGGCACGAATCAGTGCAGGTCCGCTCAGATCACAGCAGGGAACACAGACGACTCTGAGCGTGAGCATCGTTCACGAAGCTCAGGAAATGCATCCGTCATATCACTGGCCTTCCTGCAAGGAGCCTCGTCCATCTGGACTCTTACTTCGGAGAGGAAGATTGAAAGAACGTGTCATTCCACAAGAGTCTGAAGACTTTTGCAGTGAGAAGTGGGATGAAAAACTCGGGGCAGGGCAGGGCAGGCACAGTGGGGGAGGGGTTAGGGTTCTGTGACCTGGAACGTTTGCAGACACCATACCCCTGAACCCCCCAGTTCCTGCCCCCAAATCTCAGCCTTGTGCATTGTTGTGTTTTTTTTTTTTTAAGATTTTTTTATTTGACAGAGAGCATGAGCAGGGGGAGTGGCAGACAGAGAGAGAGGGAGAAGCAGGCTTCCCGCCGAGCAGGGAGCCCGACGTGGGGCTCGATCCCAGGACCCCGGGATCACGACCTGAGCCGAAGGCAGACACTTAACCGTCTGAGCCACCCAGGCGCCCCTCAGCCTTGTGCATTCTTACCAGCAAGTTGAGGGAATTATAGACCTTTTCACCACTACCAGTTAATGATGAAAAATGAGGTCTTGACCAGAAAGCATGGGAAACGTTGTGTCCTGGGCATGAACTACAGGAGCGTCCGCCCAGAGGCATTTCTAGAACAAGCTGCTCCTTTAGTGCTCTTTGCTGACTTTTCCATGAGGGTTTCTCAGCGTCGGCACTGTGGACATGTTGAGCCAAGTAATTCTCTGTCTTGGGAGCTACCTTGTTTGTGTGGGTGTTCAGCTGCGTCCCTGGCCTCTCCCTCCCAGCACCCCTGCATTTATGACCATGAGAAATGTCTCTAGACATGTCCCCTGCACAGCAGTCAGCCCTGGTTAGAACCACCAAGCTACTCCCGACCGCAGAGGACCTCTGCACAGCACTTCAAACAACCCTGCGATCCTCAGATGAAGCTCACGAGGAAAAAGGTCAGCAAGAGTGACCTTACAGTGTTGAGAGCCAATAAACTGTTTTAAAAGGAAGGTGTCATCCCTTTACTCCTACAACCTAGGAAACCACATGCTTTTCAAGATTCTGAAGTTTGGTCTGAAAGGCTACCCCTTTGGCCCCGGTGGTAGCGACCCCATACGTGCTCTACTTGGACCGCGGGGCTGGCGGGGGCCCCACGCCTTCGGCTGGGGCTATAGCAGCCTAGACTTCGCTCAGGAAGCCAGCAGAGCAAATGAAAGATGGAATGGCTGGAGCCCAGCTCGCTGTTCGTAGCCGTACATGCGGCTTCTGGAACAAGACACCAAGGATGTTGGTGACCCCTGGGGCTTTTTCCAGAAAGCGGCTTATGGCTGCATGGTGGGTGCAAGCCATGTGCCTCCCCTGCTCACCATCGGTCTGGTCAGGTGGTGTGGGCCAGTGGGGCCGAGGTCTGGGCTGGGAGCACCCAGCGCTGCGTCGTCCGGGAGATGCTGTGTTGTAGTTACTGCTCATCATCGAGTGTGGAGGTCATGCATGCAGCTCAGAGGCACGGGGTTTCCATAACGGGGGCTGGAAGAAGGGCCTCCCCCATGGTGGCCCCGCCGTGGAGGTGACGCAAGGCCTCAGCAAACTGAGAGTGGGTCAGGGAAGCTTGCGTCCGATGGGGCTCTGAACACGGGCAGAACCCTCTGGGCACGGGGGAGTCTGTGGCTGGGGGCAGGCGGGTCACCCGGGAAAGGGTGAGGGGGGCAGGGGTGCAAAGCAGAAGTGGGGTTATGCAGGCTCTAGGGGCCATGGCAGGCCGGGCTGGTTTTAGGCAGTGGACGCTCTTTTAGGAAGGTTGTGGGGCAGCTATAGATTCAGGGAGACAGGTGCTGGCCCAGGATGGAGGGAAGCAGACAGGAGTGGAGATGTGGCGTCCGGGGCAGTGGACTGGACGTGAGCGTCTGCAGCTGGGCTTTCCCCACCAGGGTGGTCTGGGGAGGGGAGATGCGGACTTCAGGCATGGGGAGCCCGGGGAGCCTCTTGGAGACTTAGCCGTGGCTCCCAGGCCCGGAGCCTAGAGAAGCAGGACTGTGCCCATCCAACAGCAGAGATGCAGATGTGTGGCCATCCGCCTCCTCCATCGGCTCCTCCCCGCCACCCCACGTTCCGGGACTCCGGCGCCGTGGGTCATGCACTCATCCCGCAGCGGCCTCCTCCTAGCTGGTTCCTTCCCTCTCTGTCCGCTCGGCCCTGGGCGGTGGTGTTCCTGAATGCACAGGTACGTGTGGCCACTCCGTGTGCCCGCGAACCCCCGCGGGTCCCTGCCACCCTCACAGTGGGGCACCCGAGCCCTGGCTTGCCCTCAGCCCGTTCACATTCGGACCCTTGTCCCCAGAACACACCCTCCTCACCCCCACATCTTTGCACAGACCGATCCGGTGACTGCCTCCGAGCCCTGCACCCGCTCAGCTGCTGACTGTCCCCCTGCTGGTGTCTCCTACCTCCCGTGACAGGCCCGGTGTCCCCCTGAGAGCTGGTGCTCTCGCCGCTCCCCCCATCACAGCGGCTCCCGCCCGTGTGGCGCTGCCTTACCCCCCACCCCCCGTGCTGTGAGCTCCCCCGGGAGGAGCCGTCCCGCTTCCCGGCCTGGGTGCACACCGGCACCGAGCCTGGCTCGGGGCCGGAGCCCAGGACCCCAGTATATGACTCGGGGGGACGACTCGGCGAGGGCCATAGCCAGAAGGAAGAGTTGAGGGAATTCGTTTCTGATGGGCAAGACCCCAGCAAGGAGTCACTGTAGCAAGTGGGGGCCGCGGGGGGGCCTCCCGCGCGGTGGTCATCCCCCCCGGGTCCGTGATGACAGTCCCCATGGTCTGCCACGCTGTCGCCTTCCGCGATGGTGACCGGGCCTGTCCACGTTGCCCTGAGCAACAGGTGGGCCGGCTTGTGCTCGGTTTCCCTGGGCGCCTGAGGCGGCCTCCTCCCTGCCTCCACCAGCCCCACTGTGCAGACCAGGCCCGTCCTAGACGTGTGGACGCCCAGACCGGCCCACGGGCGCAGTGCTTTGAAAGAGGTCCCCTGGCCTCCGTGTCTCATGAGCATTAGGAAAAGGCATTTCAGATTTCCAGATGCGTTTTTCTTAAACGGCAGAGTCCCGTGTGCACAGTCGATTTTAATCCCTCTGATGGGGGCGCAGGGAATTATGTCCTCGTCTGATTTTATAGAACCTTTCCCCAGCTGTTACCACGTGGAGTTTGGAAAGCACAGTCGTGAGGCCTTCAGGAGAACATACGTGTTTTGTTACCACCTTTCCTGTCTCCGGCAGTGTGTTAGATGTGTGCGCGTGTGGGAGAGACAGATAGGGAGACGGGGACAGAGGGAGAGGCTGGGGTTCTCCCTGAACACTTAGCCGCCTCAGCTCCGTGAGCATGGCCATTGGGAAGAGCAAGATGGGGCCTGGTCTGCGCCCAGAGCCTGACCGAGCTCACTGCCTCCCAAAAGCTGTTGAGTGGTTCCGAACAAGAAAGAACGTTCCCGAGCTTTCCTTGATGTGCCTCCAGGTAACTCATTCTCTTGGGTTGAATCTTTAAAATGTCTTGGACAAATTTCTGCTCATTTCTTCTACTTGGTTTCTCCGTTGTGTATTCTTTGTAAAGCGTAGGAGACAAGGTTGCGCTCCGTACGCATTAACGTGCTGATTCCTACGCTGAGGCGTGTTCCTTCGTGTCTGAGCCGGGCCCCGCTGCCTCTGCTCTCAAGCCACCCGGTGCTGAGAGACACTCAGAGGCGAGAGGCGGGGCCGTGGCTCCGGGCGCCTGCGGGAGGACCTCGTGGGACGCCGCGTGTGGCCTCACCAAGTTCCCCGAAGCCCGGTGAGGTTGGCGGCGCTCAGGGCCCGCTGAGGTCAGCTCCTCCTCTGGCAGAGTCAGGCTCCCGTAAAGAGCAGGCTCGGGACGAGGGCTCTGGAGTGGCAGAGAGGCTTTCCCTCCTCGGGCCCGCCAGCGTGCCGCGGGGGGGCTCGTGTCAGCCCGTGCTCTGGGCCCCCCACACACGCCCCCGCCAAAGCTCCACGTGCCGTCGCCCAGGGCACCGCGGGCTCCGAGGCTTAAAGCCCCCGGCCCCCCAGCCGGTGCGCTCTGGGGAGAGCCGCCCTCCAGCGAGGGCCGGTGCCCTTGGCAGAGAGCCCCACTTGCGTTCCGCCCGCCCAGCCACGTGGTGCAGAAGTGACTTGTAGCCTGCCGGTCCGTGAGCGCGCGGGGGGCCGCGGACACGGGTGCCGGGCCGGCTCCAACGGAGCGTGCCGATGGGCAGTGTGGGGCGCTCCGGGCTGCAGTGGCTCTTCGGTCTCCCGGAGCCACGACGGGGCTTTTAAAGGCGGTGTCCTGTACGTCGGATCTTTCAGCTGAAAGTGGCCAGAGTAGCGGGCAGTTCCCAGGGCGGCCGTCGGAAGTCTGGTCCCAGTGGCAAAGCCAGCACCACGGCCCGCAGAGCGGTGAGCAGCACTCCCACCAGCAGTCCGGTCAGGCCGAAGTGTTCCAGGTAAATCGAGCCAGCACGGCCGTCTCGTAGGTGCCGGCGCCTTCTCTCTGCTTCCTCTCCCCTCGCTCTCCGCTGCAGCCCCAGCTGTCCGTAGGGATCGGGTTCTGGCCCAGCCTGGGGAGAGGGGCCGGGAGCCGAGGCCTCAGCTGTCCTCCCTGCTTGAGCACACCCGCGCCCCCCACCGCTGTCCGTTGTCGGAGGCCCTCCCGGCCATCCCTCGTGATGGGCAGCCTGACCTGGCTGTGCAACGGGAGGGGACCCCACGACAGTCCCGCAGGGCAGTGCTCGGGCCCCTCGGGGCTTCCCTGGCCCCACCTTCAGACAGAAGTTTCCGTTGGAAGAAGGTTCCAGAGGGGGGCATGAGCCTGTTGACTCCCCCTGAGCCAAGCGCTTGGCCGGTCCCACCAGGCCCGCGTGAGGGAGAAGGACCTCCCACAAGGGCCGAGGCACCCCGCCCGCCCCCCCGCACCGCATCCCCGTCCCCATCATGCCCACAGCTCCAGGTCCGCCTTGCCAAGCAAGGATGGGTAGGAGGCACATGGAGGGAGGGATTGGAGGCCCCCCAGTTGGTAACCCCCACCTTCCCCAGGGAGCGTCCGCTCTCCTTGGCCCCAGCACCTTTCCCACCTGGCCAAGCAACATCTTCGCAGGCGAAGGTCTAGAACCAGATGTCCCTCTAGGTCTCCAGAGGGACAGTATTCTGACCTCCTTCCTCCATCCTTATGCCTCACAGCCGTGTGTAAGGCAGACTTCCCCAACCTGATTTTTCATGGTCACGAGGCTAAGAATTCTTGGTCAGATAAGCTTGTGAAACACTGGCTAAGCAAATTATTCAGTTTCTTGCCTGCAGGGCTTATCAGAACCTTATTATACTAATAAGCACTGAGGATTTTTAGGAGGTAGACAGACTATGCCATTTCCCAAACTCCCTTGTCCACAGAATTCTTTTCTCCCAGAGTATCTCATGGGCCAAGAATCTGACAGAACACACTTTGAGAAATTTGCCATTGAAATGTTGCTGTTCCCATTTTCTGGATGGGCAGTCTGAGGCCCACAGAACCTGAAGGGCTTGCTAAAGGTGAAGCCTGACCACACAGGGATTTGGCCCTGCCCTCAGAATGCACACAGCCTTCCTTGTTCTTAACCTGGCACCGAGTTTCTGTTGCATTTTGAGCATCGACCATTTGTCCCCTGCTTGGTGCCCGGCTAGATTCACCACACTGGTGGGGTTCTTGTCCACCCTGTGTCCTGGCTCAGCCTCACACAGCCAGAGCTTATGTCCTGAGGTTGTGTTGACCTGCTGGGATGCCACTTCCCCGGGGAGAGCAGCTTCCCCGCTCTGGACATTTGAGGACCCCTGAGATTGTCCCCCAGAGACAGACTGTCCCCGGGCTGCCTCCAAGGGGGATGAGCGTGAGGGGGCGTGGCAGGCTGGGCTCCTGGGGCACGCGGGTGCCCAGGAGGATGAGCTGACGCCCCCACGGCTTTCTTTTCTGCCCCCCTGCAGGACATGCTGCCCATGCCCGGAGATCCGACCCAGGGGACCGGCAACTATAACATTGAAGACTTCGCGGACCTGGGCATGTTCCCGCCGTTTTCTGAGTAGCGGCAGGCAGATTGCGGCCGGCGCTGGGCAGTGCCCCCCACGCGCGCGGGACCCCCCCACGCCCTGCTTGCCCCGCCTGCCCCGCCACGGGACCCCCCAGCGGAAGGCCTCTCACCCCCATGCTCCCCCCAGCACAGCATCGCTCAGCCTGCAGCCGGGGCTGCCCGGCCACCCACCAGGAGCCCTGGTGGATACTGGGGAGTTGCTGTATTTATTGTACTCTTATCTGTGTATGCTTGGGAGGTGAGCCCGTCGGGTCCTGGAGGTCTGGTTGTGAATAATCTCATAGCAGACAGTGTCCACCTATAAAACGTCCGGTCCCCGTCCCAAGTGCCCAGGCCTGCCCAGGACACGGGAATGGGTTTCTTCTTGCCTTTGACATCTGTGGATGGGTGGGGCTCGGGTGCTGGAAGGGAGGCGAGCAGGATGCACGGCCTTTGTTCTCCGAGCTGGGACCCAGAGGTGGACCCCGCTCCCCGTTCCCAGCTCAGCCAAGTCTGTGTGTGCGTCCGTCCATCCGTCATGCTGTGGGATGTGTGTACTCTGTGCGGTGTGATGTGAATCCCTGTCCTGATGGGTGTGCTATGCCCCGTACGTGCCGTGTGGCCAGAGTGAGCGTCCAGAATCCAGGGGCCCCCCCGCGCAGCCCCCACCCCCAGCGCAGCACCCCCTGGCTGGAGGGAGCTTGGCCCAGGGCCTGGGCGCCGGGCTGGGCGGAGCAGGCTGACGTTCCATGGTGTCGCCGGGAGTCGTGGCTGGGAACCTGCTTGCCTTCGTGGGTCAGCTCCCGGGTGCAGGCGCCCCTCTGAGAGGAAGCGGCCCCCTCCTCTTCCAGGAGGCCCCCGAGGGAGCACTGGCCCTTCCTGGTTACGCGCAGGTGTCTCCCCCCTGGTTCCCAGCCAGCGCCTGCCAAGGGCACACCTTGAGGTCACAGAGCCCGAGGCCCTTCTGCAGAGGACTGGACAGGAAGGCAGGACGTCCGGGCCTCGGCGGCCACATTACGCTCAGCAGCTCTGGAGCTGGTTCAGGTGTGGTCCCGTGCGTGGAGACAGGAGTTCAGAAACCTCTCCCAGCAGGCCGCCTGGCCTTCCTTCTGCAGCCACCGGGGGCAGAGTGCAGGTCTGTGAGGCAGAAGGCTGGGCTTCCCGTTCTGATTCTGGTACGCACTCACCGGGGCCTTGAATTCCTCAGATGGCCTCGAGACGGGAGCAAGAGCTGCCTTCCAGAAGCTTCTGCCTGGCTGAGCCCATGGTCCCTGGCTTGCTGTGTTTCCCTCTATTCAGTGGCCTCGCGCCCCTGTGCCCCGTGCCCTGAGACAGGCTCTCCACCTCTCGTCTCTGTCTTTTCCTGACAGCCAGGCTTCCGTTTGGCCTCACCGTCCATGGGCTCGCTGCCTCCCATGTGGGAGGAACGCTACACTCGCGGCCCGGCAGGTGGAGGAGCCCGCCCCCAGGACAGCCCTGCATCTCTCCCGGGGTCCCTCAGGCAGACCTCCTCAGGCACCCGGCTCAGAAACAACCCGTGTCCCCCCCACCCCCAGGATTTCGGAGGGCCAGCCGAGTGTGGAGGGTTCTGAGCTGCCTGAGGGCAGAGTGAGCCCAGCGGGCAGGAAGGAGCCGGGGGTGGGGTGGGGGGTTGCCTGGACCTCTGCACGCTCTGCGTTAAACGCCGGCCCCTGTGCGGGGTCCAGAGGGGACCCCTGCGCCCTGTCTTGCTTGGAGAGCTCCACCTACAAAAGTCCAAAGTCGTTTGGTAGCATTCCTGTGGCTGGTAGTCCGCTCTGTGCGCTCCCAGTTCCTAGACTCTAAATGCACACAGACTGAACAGTTCCTAGAGCGGCTTTTAATCCTTTGCGTATAGCGGTGATTGAGTCCCAGGTTCAGGTTGTTTTACCCTCAGGAGCCTCTTCGCTTCAGGGGACATGGTGGGCCCGACAGTGCCAGAGCCAGAGGGGGCTCCCCCGTGTGGGCCCTGCCCTTGGGGTCACCTCCGCCTCCGCAGCCTGAGCCTACCCCAAGCAGGGGACACGATCATTTCCAAGAAAGGCGCAGAAATCACTTTCAGATCAAAGAATGGTTTCTCTGTGAAACAGAAACAGACTTTTTGTGGCCTTTCACCTGTGAGTTTGGAAGTTTGGGGGGTTTCATGTTTGCTTTTTCCTTGTTTCCTGGAGAGAACTGGGGATTTCCTTAGATGTGTCCATCAGGTTGACGCTGTGACCCGGGGCTGCGCTGGACACCGAGGGGATGCGGACCAGGGGAACAAGCCTTGCAGCCACTTCTGTCTGTTGGGGTGCAGACAACTCAAGGCTCGGTCCTGGAAGGCAGGGACCGTCGGTGACTGAGGCCGGGCGTGATGGGGAGTACCGTGACTCGGGCGGCCCGGCCCCCTTCCTTCCGGCTCTGTCCCAGGAGCCTCGACAGGGAAGCCCACGGCAGTCCGATCGGCCTGCAGGAGCGCTCTGTCCTCTCGACTCCCCATCCTACTCCTTGGTTGTGATTCTTGGAGGCCATCCCGTGACCAGTAAGAAAACAGACAGGACTAGAAGGATCTCTGACGCAAGAGATGCAGCCCCCACCCCGAGGAATCTTGCGCCAGACCGGAATAAGAGTTAAAACCACAGAGGGTCTCATCCCAGTTTGGAGGAGCGCGTCCTGTGCCAGGCCTGCGCAGCCAGGAGGGGACTGTGTGTGGACCCTCTGTTGGCACGGCGTCCAGCCAGGCCCCGCCCAGACTCCTCTCCCAGCTCTGCCGGGACGCACTCCCTCACTCACACCCCCTCACTCACACCCCCTCTCCTTGGGCCCGGCAGGCCGGCCTTCCACAGAACAGGCCGGAGCCTTGGGGGAGGACACAAGGCAGCCATTTTGAGGCTCACACAGGACTTGGCTGGTGACGGTGGCTGTGGCCGTGGAGGTTCTAGAACATTCTACCTACGTCTCCCTCCCACGAGTTTTGTTTTTAGCTGTGGTTTCAGGGAGTGATAGAGCCATCGCAAACAGCCGCGTTCTCTTCTGCTTCCTGATATATTAAACCCACCCCCTTTGCTGTTTCATGAATCCCTTGTGGAGAACGGGAGCGTGCTGAGAGTTGATGGAACTGCCGTCAGGGAGCTCGGACCTTCAGCCAGTAAAGAAACCGTATCTCCCCCCAGATTAGCCACACGTGACCGTGACCTCCCATCCACGTCTGCCAGCCTTAGCCAAGAGATGGGACGGGCCCTGGGGAAATGAGTGGTGGCCTCAACCTTGTACATCAGCCCTTGGGAGCAGCCGAGCTCTGCTGGGACCGTGACCTCCACCCACCTGGGCCCACCTGTTCCCTGCCAGTTAGGACCTGTCGCCTAGCCAGACCAGTCAAAGCGCTAGTGAGTCACGAGTCAGGACACAAGTGGTCCTGGTCGTACCGGAAACTAGGAGTCTGGTCGTCACTTGCCAGGGACCCATTCCCTCCTCCCTCCAGCCAGTCCTTGTGTGGTGTGTGGTAAGGGGGCCGCTCCCCCTTTCCCTCCGCTGCAGGGGTCTGGGACAACCTGAGAGGCACCTGCCATGGTGCCGGCAGCCATTCATGGAGAGAGCTGCCTGGGTCTTGTGGCCAAAGCTGGTTTTGTGGTCCAGCAACCAGCCAAAGCCTGTGTGGGGGCACCGACCGGGAAGGGAGAGGCTGTGCCAGACGCGGGGCGGCTGGCTCCCCGGGACAGCCTCGTTCTCCTTCGGAGGTGACAGGCTTCCGTGGACAATGTCAGCACCTCATCATTTCCCTTGTAGCCTTTCTTCGTATGGCCGTGAGCTGTGCTGTGGATAAATCATCATTTGTATTTCTTGAATGTTCTCTAGGACTAACAGTTATTGAGTTGGTTGTGTATATGTGTAACTAATGTAACTGCCTTTTAAAATTCCATTACAATAAAAATGACTTTGCTCTGAACAGTGAACAGCGCAGGCCAGCTTCGTGATTGAGTGGTTCAGGGAACCTTCTCTTGGACTTTGGGATGTATCTGGGATCACACCTCTTCCTAAGGGCTGTGTTATTATCTCTCACTGCCGGCCAAGAGCGGAGAGTCCCTGGGTGCTAAAGAGGGGCCCTTCTGGGGGTCTAGCTACATAGGAGAGGAAGGTGCTTGCCCTTGTCTATCAGGCAAAGCTCTCTAGGAGGCTCTCTGCGTGCTGTATTTGTGAATCATGACAAACCTGGGCTATGTGGTTATTAGTCCCAGTTTATAGAGTATGAGACAGGACTCGAGAAGTTAAGTGACTTATCTAAGAACTGTCAGGAAGGAACTGGCAGAACCAGGATTTGATCTCAAATCCTCACTCCAAACCCTTTATCTATTGTCTTCTTCAAACACTCTTTTTATTTCTTTTTTAAAATTCTCCCAAACATTAGTGTTTTAATATGCTCAAGCCTCTAATAAATACTTACAAATTCTAACCATTCTCTGTTGAGAGATGACTATTTGGAGTCTAGCAAAATGGCAGGCTGAAATAATTTAAACACTTTTCCATCAAACATCTGGTGTCCCTTTTTTTTTTTTTACAGCTTTATTGAGCTATTATTGATATAAAATAAACTGCATATATTCAAAACATACATTGGGGGGAAATTTTTGTGACCTTGAGTTAGGCATAGATTTCTTAGATACTCCACCTAAAGCATGATCTATAAAGGAATAAAATTACAAATTGAACTTCATAAAAAAAATTCAAAACTTTGCTTTTCAAGGACGCTGTTAGCAGGATGAAAAGATCCACCGTCGACTGGGAGAAAACATTTGTGAGCCATGTATCTGGCAAAGGACTTGTATCCAAAATATGTAAAGAACGCTTACAACTGAATAAACAAGTTAGGACAAAAGAGGCAAAAAATCTGAACAGACACTTCACCAAAGAAGACACAAAGTGGGAAATAAACACATGAAAACATGGTTGGGATCGTCAGCCATCAGGGAAATGCACATTCTAATTCCACTAGCCATTAGAATGTTTCAACATTTAAACAGACTGATACAGCAAGTCTTGTCCAGCATGTGGAGCGCCTAGACACCCCCACAGTCCCTTTGCATAACAGTTAGGCAGCTTCTTAGAAAGTTAAGCACACATGCACCATAAGACCTAGTCTTTCCACATCTAGGTACTTATTTGCCCAGCGGAAATGAAAACGTGTTTCCCCACAAAGACTTCAGTGGGAATGTCGTAACCACCAAGAGCCAGAAACAATCTAAATGTCCATCAGAAGGTGAGTGGGGAAATCGTGGTATATCCACACAATGAACACTACTCAGCAATGGAAGGGAACAAAGACAAAATGTGGATACAAGCGATGATAAGATAGATCTCAAAAACATCATGCCGAGCAAAAGAAGCCAGGCACAAAGGCACCGCATGATTCCATGTATACGAAATTCCAGGTAAGAACTAGCTAATCAGCAGGACAGGAAGCAGGTCCGTGGTTCTGGGGCTGGAGGGGAGGAGAATGGAAGAGGGGATGGGAAGGTTCTAGATTTGATGGGTGTTCACACTGGTTGTGACCTTCACTGAAGATGGGTCCTTTAAGTTACAGTATGTATAAATTCTATCCAAATTAAGTTGATATAAAAACAATCGCAGGAGAGTTTTTTTGTGCGATTTGACAAGGTAATCCAAAATTTCCTATGGAACTAAAGAGAAATCATACCCAATACATTTAATTGAATGAGATATTTAAAGAAGAGAAGGAGGAAGAGGAAGAAAATGAGAAAAATGGAGCATTCAGCCTTCTAGACACGTGGAAGCTTTGTGATGAGAAGCATGGATCTAGAACACTAGCTCAGGGGAATACAGCAAAGAACCTAGGAAGACACACACGTTCGGAAGGGAGATTGTTCTTTGGGAGAGCCAGCATCACAAGTCACGGGGACCAGGTGGGCTACCAGTCAATGGTGGCAAATGGCAGGAAAAGAAGACATTTGATCCTTATCTTACCCAAGATACAAAATACAGGACACAAAAAATACACTCCACAGAGATGAAAATATCTGAATGTTAAAAAGTGACGTATGTAAGGGGCGCCTGGGTGGCTCAGTCGTTAAGCGTCTGCCTTCGGCTCAGGTCATGATCCCGGGGTCCTGGGGTCGAGCCCCGCATCGGGCTCCCTGCTCCACGGGGAGCCTGCTTCTCTCTCTCCCACT